TACTAGTACTAGTACTAGTACTAGTAGCTGTATAATTTTTGAATCAAATTTTTTCAAACGCACAAAATTACACTTTACTTCTGAAAATTATCACCTAGATTTCCTACTGATTCCTACATAGTAGCTCCTACCTGACCAGCACCTTCTGGCATCCAAACACCATGGTGACATCCCCTTCCAAAGGGGAAAATCCACCTTCCTGGCTCCATTCAAGCACTTCTAACAAGCAAGCAATCTGACCATGATTATTCCMAGAAGTGTATCACACCCCTATCCCCAGCCTTGGCCGGTGGATCCATTCCCTGTTCCTCCAGAAGCACCATACAGTACGTATCTTCTGGTGTTGAAGAAGAAGTTGTTTCCAGCATTCGTGCCGCATAGCAACAACAACAACCCCAGCCTCAGTAGTATCCAACCAAGACCTATTGAAGAACAAAGCCTGGAATATATGCTACATACTCAGTTCAAAGATTCCCCAGCATCTCCGTGCAGTTCCAGTTTTATTTACACACCGGAAGAGTTTTCTGGTCATGTTGTTGTTGTTGTTGCTTGTTGTTGTTTCCAGCATTTGTACTGGAAAGCAATAACAACATCCCCAGCTACCCCAGTATTCAACCAAGACCTTTCCTTTGAGGAACAACGCCTTGAATAAGCTACACCATACTCAGTTTAAAAGAAGATTCCCCAGCCTTATCTCCATCCACCAGTTCCAGTTTTCTTTACAGACCAGAAGAGTTTTCTGGTCATGTTGTTGTTGTTTCTGGCATTCATGCCAGAAAGCAACAACAACAACAACAACAACCCCAGCCCCAGTATTCAATCAAGACCTCCTCTGAAGCACAACACCTGGAGTACATGCTACACTAGTAGAGGACTCAGTTAAAAGATTCCCTGGCATCTCCATGCAGTTCCAGTATTGCCTCAGCTGGATCTATCCCCAGTTCTCAAGGATCAGAAAAGACAAATTCTGGTCACGATTGTTGTTGTTTCCAACATTTATGTTCTTGGAAGACTCAAGCAGCAACACCAACTCCRCCAGCCCCCAGTATCTACTACTGCTAGATCTCATCAATCTATCCTTTGGTTCTTCTTTACAAAGATGCTCCACAAACAGTTGCTCCTACTACTACTACTA